GCCCTGTCTGTACAAAACTCCTGAGAACGGGATTGGGGGCTGGGGAGTGGGAGGAGGCAAACAGACTGCACACCAAAAGCCGTCGGGGCTGTACAGTGGCGCACATGCAGGGCCGGTACACGTCCTCAGAAGCCTGCAGTCGGTGCTTTGACCTTCTTGGTTGGTCGTGGGAAGTTCTTGCGCACGCCGTTCTTGAAGATGACAGGCTTGTACTCGTCCGGCACGCTTCGGTGCATCACAGGGCTGTTCCTGTAGCGCTCCACATGTGCCTGGACAAACGAGAATCTTCTCTACTCTCTCTGTCCCTGTCTACAGACTGTCCCTTATGTTAAAACATTAAGTTCGTCCTCGCCCTGCCCCAGCGCTATCTCTCACTCGCTCTCTCTCCCCTCCCGCGCTACCCTGCCTTGAAGCCCTGGTGAGGGCCACTCCAGCTCACTTGGCAAACCTTGGCCGTGGGCAGGGCCCAGCCCGAGAAGCCATCGAAGGTCCGCCACAAGGCATCCACGGCCGCGCCATCCACCAAGTTCACGAAGGCGTAGCCGAGGTTTGCCTGACGGTAGAAGTCACAGGGCAGGTAGACGAAGTCGTAGCGACCGGCAAAACCGTGCTCGTCCAGCATGGCCAGGAACATCTCGCGGCTATAATTGTTGGGCACATTCCGCAGCATGAGGGTGGTGCGCTCGGCACTTGCGTGCTTGGCGTCCCGGCCCGTCCCCGCTGCCGGCTGAGGTGCTGGCTCTGCCGGTGCTGCCGGAACAGAAGGTGCACTAACAGCCTCCTGCGCCTCAGCACGTTCATCGCTGAATCTACCTGGATAGTACGGCTCCTCGTCTGCAAGGGCTCCCGTCAAGAGCGAATCCGTCATTGCTCGGCGCAGCTGCCTGTAGCGCTGCATCAGGCTTCGGCCATCATCCACATCGATGAACGTGCTCCTCACAACCACGTTGCACAGGCCCTCCTCGTCTTCGCACACGTCAGCCATACCACTGGAGCGCGGCGATGGGACTTCGGAAGGGCAAGAATCCTCGACAGTTTCAATGTCGCTGTGCTCACCCACCACGGTGCTTTCCACATCACTGTGGCGGTCTGCGTGCTTCAACTCGGGGACAGCCAGCAAAGTAGGGGTAGATGACAGGCAGGACATGGCAACGGGGGCTAGACAACGTTGATGGCCGTACTTGACGACTCCAGGTCCTGATCCTGCACTTGCTGTGGAGCCACAGTGACCCGACATGCGATGACAGCACGTCGCTCGGCAAAGCACATGTTAAAACCAAATCTCTTCAAGGGACTGCACAGGGACTGCATCGTCAGCGAAACAAGTACAACATCTAACGTCGCTCTTTTCATCACGAATTCCACAATTGAGGCCCAAGTCTTTACAAGCGTCAATCCCCTGTTGCTTCGGTGCAGCACAGCCTGCTCTCCACTGGCAGCCCGCTGCGGAAGGCAGCGCAGGACAAGAGGCGGCAGTGCGCCTGCTTCCTTGCCCTGTCTGTACAAAACTCCTGAGA